TATAAATATCTATGTAAATCTACATTGGGTTCATAAAGCTACATAAAAATTCTACATAACTCTACATAAAAATTCTACGTAACTCTATGTAAAAACAACTTCGTGATGGACACGTCTTAACTCAAGATTCACGAATTAAGTTCGGAAGAGTACTCGAATCATACATATGATTGATATCACAATCTATAAAAGCAGATTTGGGTACCAGACTCTAACAACTACGAACTCGCGAACACTCACGAATCTCACAAATCAGGAATCGTAATAAACTCGAATATTTCGAGAAACGAAGTGACGAATCCAATCACTAGTGCAGGGATTAATTTCGAATTTTAAACTAAATTAAGCTTAATTTGTGCCATTAAAACACGCCCCTGTGTGTTATTTCGTGGTTACGATAGCTCTAATTTATTTACTGTGGAGGCTGAAACTGAAATTGTTTTTGGTCTCTATTTGGATCTATAAAACCTACTAAAACCCACCTGTATATACTCTTTTATCAACAATCCTAACCCCAAATTCTAATTTCGTCAATGTAAACCCAAAAAAAATTTTGTACCTCTGATCTAGATTGATAGCGCGTCTAACTCACCTTCCCTACTCCCGACGCATCTCATTAAACATAAAAGTTTATTAAAATAACGCATCATAACTTGGGAATGTTTGATTATCTTAGTCAAAATCCACAATTAACTTATTTCTAAAATAATTTCTGTTTTGAAATTCCGAAATCAGGCTGATGAAATATTATTATCGTATAAAAAAAGTAGAATTTAAAAAATCACTTATTTCAAAACAAATACGTCACTAATTTATAGCACTTTGCAGAAAGATGTGACCCGATGATTTTTTTAATGATGATGGCTGAGAATCACAGAGATAAAATCTAAATTTAAGAATCATATAAAAATTCTACGGTATACGAAGTACTACAATTATGGCAGTTTGCAAAAAGGTGTGACCTCTGCAGATCATGATGTCATGTAAAATCAGCCGATTCTAGTAGATTTTTCGATTCTTGGAGAATTTTAAAGATTTCAAATAAAATATAGATGTTATTGATTGAAAATTATGATCAATAGGGAATTAAAATCTCTGAAATTTTTCCGCTATCATCATCACGAAATCACAGAGTCACACCTTTTTGCAAACCGCTATAATTTAAGATAATTTTGCTAAAGACGAAGTACTACGATTAATTTAAGATAATTTTGCTGAAGACGAAATGAGTATATTATAGCGCTTTGCAAAAAGATGTGAACATGTAATTTTAGTGACGATGATGGCTGAGAATCACTAAGATTCCAGATTGTCTGTTACTTTATATTTCTTTGAAATCAGTTTAATTCTTAAAATCTCAAAAAATCTATAAAATCTCACATGAAAAAATGATCTGCAGTGTTCGCAAAGCGCAATAAATTTAGCCAATCATCACAACTCTATGATAAAAACGATGGTCGATTGTACCCGTCAAGAAAATCTCTACCCGGGTACAATCTCTAGTCGATCGACTGGCTAAACTATTTCCACTAATTAAAAATCGAGCTGAATATAGGTGCTTGAGGGCATCCTAAGTCAAAGAAATTTAATGATTAATTTATTTTATTTATCGCACAAGGGAAGATGAGACTTCGGCTTTCAATTTTATCATTTATTATTTATCAGATTCAGCCCTTTAAAAATCTGATAGTAACATTACTGTATGTGATACGTAACGGTAATATATGGATGCTGCCAAGAGGCAATGAGACTTGGGGCTTTCAAATTTATCACTTCTTATTTATCAGATTCAGCCTATAAACAAACAATCTGTTACTGAATCCGGAAATAATAAATAAATTGAAAGCCTGAAGTTACATTTTCTCTTGGCTGCACTCATGTATCACCATCAGATTTTTCATAAATAAACTTGAAAGCTCGAAATCCATTTTCCCTTGGCAACTCTCATTTAATTCTCTTATATAGACAAGAGTTTATCAAAATTCAAAAGCAACATCCAAATTTCAAGTATTTTAATCAAAGTATTTTTATGATAGTTATATCGAATCTCCTATAAATGTTCGATATAAAAAGATTCATTATACAGTATAACGAACTTATTCTATAATGAGCAGAAATCTCCAGACCAGCAAGCTCGGTATAGAGAGAGATGACTGCAACTAACTAACAATTAATTTTAAAATTTATGGTCTGAAGTTCATTATAAAGAGGCTCATTATATAGTGTGAAGATTTTTACTGAAGCTAAGAGATATAAAGTTTGTAAGCGTAAACCTTCCAAAGTCTATTCTCACGAAAACAATATACCGACTTAAGTTATTTAGAATTTTATTTGAGTGATCAATACTTGACACGTGCAAGAGCATGGGCATAAAGATTATATTTAAAACTAGAGTTGACAAATGGTGCACTTTTGCGCGGAATAGAGCAATGGAATATTTGTTCTAACATATTAAAAATTTAAATATTAAAAATTTTCAATAGAGCAATGTCCCAAAGCAGGCGAAATTTACCAAGATGCCAACCCTGAATTTACCACATTGGTGTTATTTAGAATAATGGCCCGAATTAAGCTTAATTTAGGCCAAAATTTGAAACTACACTTCTGTGCGTTATTTCGCGACAATACGGTATTCATATTTTGCAAATTTGCGATTTATATTCGTATGCTTTAATTAATAAAAGGCAGTTCCATTTCATCTTATAAGATTAAACCGTACATAACGATAGGTAATAAAATTTTCTAATATACATATTATAACAGATATGTTGTAAGAATTTTTAAACCACAATAATTAATTGAGTATTAGATATTTTTGTAGGATTATTGCAAACAAGGCCACAAAGCTCTAAAGTTCATCAAAGACCAAATACAGAGAGAATTTTCTTCCCATACTTCTTTATGGCCCAAGGCTTGCTCTGCTTTTGATTTTGGTCTTAGAATCTCGATAGCATCGCGATACTTATCATCACCCCAAATAATCCAACTTAATTCTAAAATCTTTACATACTTATTCATATTAAATCCATCAATATTTTTAAACTCCCATCCTTCACCTCCATTTAATGCAAACGGTAACAAATAGTCTACGGCGGTTTTTATGCTTTGATTATTTTCTCCTTTATAGTTCCATCCATCAAATCCTAAATACGT